GCTCAGATCTCCTTTCTTTGGAATCTTGGCACTTGTTCCTCCTCCCAAATCTTCATGAATAGAAGATGAAGCATGCTTGTAGTTACTTTGATGTCTGACTTCAGTGCTTTAGCTGGTATATTGTCGGGTCCTGTTGCTTTCCCGCTCTTGATTTGTCTGATGGTCATTCTGACTTCTCCCGTCGTTGGTGGATTGGCATCTATAGGAAGATCTGTGTATGCTGCTTCGATGTCCGGTGGATTCGTTGGAGCCGGCTTATTCGGGAGTTCCTCGAAGTACTCTGCCCATCTGCCCCGCTGTTGTTGAATTTCAATGATTGGCCTGCCTTCTTTGTGTTTGACCGGTCTCTTTGGTTCAATATATTTCCCTGCTAGTTTCTTCATTGTATCGTAAAGCTGTTTCATATTTCCTTCTCTTGCAGCTTTCTTCCACGTATTTCTGCTTGTCGGCTCTAATGCTCTTCTTCACTTGCTTGTTTGCTTTTATGTACTCAGTTTGTGCTTGGACTTTCTCTGTTCGTGTTCGGCTGTTGTTAATCGCTGTCTTCTTGTTCTTCCTTTCTTTGATCCTGTCCAGTGTTTCTATAGAGATCCATTCCATATGATGATGCTTCTTAAAGCCCAGAACCTCTTGGCACGTTGAAGTTATTGTCTCTTTGATACCTTTCCAGTTGTCTTCCATATATATATCAGATGAAGTTAAAGAATAAGAAGCATGAAATGATATTCACACATAAAATCTAGCAGAAGGTAAGGTAAGAACATACCTGCATTCATAAAACTAATTTTAAGCAACATCATCCGAAATCTCTAATCACTGATTACAATTACAATACGAGTGCTATATACATACAATTCATATTGAGACGTGACTCATACAAACGGTTAGTAACATAAATGTCTTTTTTGGACGATGATACAAGTTAGTCGGTCAACCAGTAATGAATTGCCATTTTAAACAACAATTGAATGACCCCAAAAAAGGTATTGAATCTAATTACACTATATGGTAAGAGGTAAATACTTGTATAACATTTATAGTAAGTAAAGACAAATAATAATATCCAGTTTAGTAATCCGACTTTAACTCAAGTTTAATCATAGATCACGTTGTCGTAGATTTACTTTTATTAATGATTGTTTTATAGATGAAATTCTGTAGAATTTATTGCAACATATATCTTTTATTAATAGAATGGAGGTTTGTGGTGATTCAATCGTTAAATTTGAGTCGATCTAAGCTAGATCCTCATGGAAAACCTGGAAGAACTAGACGACCGTTTCATTCTAGTATGGGACTACTCAGCAGTGCGCATCCACGATCCCCCATTTCGATAATCATCATGTGCTCAGTATATCCTTACTACTTCTATGAATTAGGTGTTCATGTTGTTATGCTAATGAGGTGTGGAAACGTGGATTGATACATATATATGCTTAGTCCTATAGTGTAGCTGACTGCTCACCAGTGACTGGCTCTAAGATGTATTTCCTGCAGTCTCAGTGAGAAGCCGTAACCAGTGGAGTTCAACTGTGTCTGTTGTGAGGCAGTTACTTACTGAAGACAATCGAGGATAGCATAATGTGTGCAACATAGCAACTTCTTGATTTAACAATTACTTTGAATATTAATAATCATCTTTCATCCAAACTACTCGATGTTAATTTAAATGTCATTATGTAATTATTACGTAACGTATCCACTCTATGAGTATTATATCATTATTGTAAATCATATATATATTAGTGTAGAGCGATGATGAAAAACTAATTGAAAAGAAATTTCTTCACTCAATTCGTTCCTTCTGTATTTATCAAATGTCCAAATGGGAATTTTCCCAAAAGAATGATTAATAAAAAGATATAATTTCTAATTTATGGGATATTATTATACAAAAATCACCTTGTTGTAATGTAATTATCGAATCAGTAAGCAAATATACAGATGAAAAACGTTATATGATCTTATGTAATCATCGCTCAGTTATGTTGAGTAAACTTAGTTAGAAGGTATGTTTTGGTTATGTGAAGATTTCTCACTAATCAAATGTTTATTAAATTGTATGTTTAGTTGTCTTTGGAATCTGAAACATGTCTTTTTTAGACGCTATTACAATAGATCTATTCAGAGCATTTGGTCAACTGTTCAACTGACAGACTGTTGCGTAAATATTTACATAAACTATGCATATTTATATGGATGATGGTTCCTGATAATTTACTTAAATATTTAATAGTTAGACATAAATGTACATATTTACTATGGTCCATATTTATAGTGGAGAAGCACTGGATATGATTCTAGCGGTATTGTAATATCCACGCTACTATTGCATATACTTGAAAACGGGAAACATAACAATTTCCAAGAAGTGAAGTAAAAGTATAAAGATTCGTGCAAATGAAGATTTATTGACTTTGGAAAAACACAACATTAAACCAAATGCACTCATTCACATATTGATTTTACACACAAATAATGATTAGTTGATAAACACCATATAAATGGGGAAATAAGTTTACTGTAAAACAAATACAAAGTTTACACTGAATAATATCAAGAACATGATCGTTACATTGGAAGGAAGTTCGCACCTGTAATACTGAACATAATATACGCTTAATTAGTGAGAAACATATTGACTTGAAATAATGTTACACTGGAAAATATAAACTCAATACGGTAATGAATAAAATGTTACACAGAGAATGAAACTAATGATAAAATAGTTTTATACTAAATAAAGTGCTACGTTGAGAATAAAGCAATATCAAAATGTCACACTGAGAATAAAAATTAATTTCACGAAATGATATATTGGGTTAGAGAAAAATGCGAACTTCCCTACTAAGCTTAGCTTCTCAAGTATGTTGATCAATATCCATGGATATTAATTGAGACCGATTTTCGGCTGTTATCAAAAATTAATATCAAGCTCTAGAAATGAAGGGACACTCGGAGAGGGAACTGGGTACTAAAACATCTCATTTTCAGATGTAGATATGTACAAAATACTCAATTAATTGAATCACACTCATGGGGGTACAGGAGAAAACAGTCAGTGGAACTTAAAAGTTTCTATATTGGCCAGACCAGAATACTCAAATATAAATTAAAACTAGTGAGTTAGTACCGTAAAACCACCAGTCGCGCTAATTTCCAGTTTCAACCTTTATCAGCGCTTTTTCAGTAAATACCTGGTTCCAATTTTTTATATTACTCTACATCATAATGAAAGGAATTCTCATATTTATATGCAACCAACAGCCTGAAGCGTTCTGTATCGTGTGGCCGAGTTACGTTTACAAGAACGAAAGTATCATCGCAAAACTTCGCGAACTAATATCAAGACAGAAAAACTGGTCAGTTAGCGAACTGATATACTACCCATTTCTATAATAGCTGACCACCTCTTTCACCTCAGTTGAAACCATCAACAGTAGATGCGTTTCAATAGGGATATTTAGAGAAATAGTGACAAGTAAAGACAGTTCTGAAAATTTTATAAGTCATTTATAAGTATCCCTCTAAGGCATTTGATGGTTTAATCACTGAATGATATTCAACACCTGTCAAGGTTTCTGATAAAAGCTCGCTAGCAACTTTGACTCGATCAGTAGTGTCCGGGTAGAGCGTATTTACAATGTTTTATAATTTGTTTTTCAGTGACAGTTATAAGACCCTTGACCAACGGAGTTCAATCCGCCTTAAAGTCAAGAAATACTACGACTGTACTATGTCAGTAGTTATGTTTATGTTTAAGAACCTGATAAAGGGTGAACATATAATCAGTAAATACAAGTTCAAATCTGAAACCAGCTTAGTTTTTCCCAGTTTGTTGAACGTTGGATAATTACTGACGTTAACATTCTACATATAATTATTTAAACAGGTCACTAATTAGTCAAAAACAATAAATCATGGCAACAAAGCATTACATTTATACAAACAAACAATATTGGAGCAAATAATTATTTTCAGTAAATTCGTCATCAGCCTCTACTATTATAGGTCTATAATTATTTTATTAAAGTGACCAAGATTAAGGGTGCTAGTAAACTAGACAACGTTGTGTTTAAAAAAAGTGGTGAGGTTCCTCATCTGTTGCGGCTCAAGCATTTCGAAAATGCATCAATTTTAGATTGGTAAGATCACTTAAATCGGTAGGAAAGTTTGTTGTCAGATATCGAGTTGCAATCAATGCAACTCATTTGAGTTAATACATGGTAGAAATTTCGTTTAGGTAATTGAGATCATAATGATGATAACAACAATACGATGTGTGATAATAGCGGTAGATTGATTGGGATTTGATATATGACCGAGGGAGATTTATAATATCTTATTCGCTATATGCTAAGTAGGGAAGGTTGACTCTGCTAATAGATTGCGTCCTCCAGTTCCTTTCGTTACTTGTCTATTTTACCCCATTATTAATTTACACTTCTGAATTTCTTGTCATAATTACTCCAGAAACACTTGTTATCACACATCATATTGTTGTTATCATCATTATGATCTCAATTACCTAAACGAAATTTCTACCATGTATTAACTCAAATGAGTTGCATTGATTGCAACTCGATATCTGACAACAAACTTTCCTACCGATTTAAGTGATCTTACCAATCTAAAATTGATGCATTTTCGAAATGCTTGAGCCGCAACAGATGAGGAACCTCACCACTTTTTTTAAACACAACGTTGTCTAGTTTACTAGCACCCTTAATCTTGGTCACTTTAATAAAATAATTATAGACCTATGATAATTGTTTATTCCAATGTTCATTATTCGAATATTCTATGCGAATTTTACGGTTTCAACCAAAAATACTTGACGCATTATAAATGACCTTTCTAGAAGCGTAAAATAAACCAAGATCCAATCAGACACATTCTTAAAAGAATTACAGAATCCCCAAGAATTTAGCTGAGGAAGAGACGAGACTTTCCAACAAATAATGCGCGACTAATTAATGAGAATAACGCAATTGGATTTACATGATTTATAAATCAACTTTGTATTATATCTCATATTGATAATCAGTTGTTCGGAAACAAAATGACATCTCGTAAAAGTATGTTAGAAAAGAAAAGCACAAATCAAAGGAAAAGTGAACTTGTTTTAGGATGGCGAGAATAGTAATAAAATCACGGTTAGTTTTTTTCATTTCACTTTGTATTATTAGTACAATAATTTGATAAATCATCAGTAGTAGATGGTAATCATGAATGTTAGTAAATATGAGAGCATAGCTGACAAGAGGATAAGCCTCAATGTGTGGATAGATAACAACTCTTTGAATGAACTTTAAAGAGTGGATAGTGAAATGTGTAGTTTTGAAGATGAAATAGATGTATTGAGTGCCAACTTTGAGAGGAACCAAAATAAAATGAGGAAAACAATAGTGAATAATAACATTGACAAGGATAACTCAGAATAAGGCTGTTCACCAAAAAAGAGGAAACTAATGACTTTACAGAACGAAACAAATCGAAAACATAAACACGTATATGAGAATGACAAAAATTTCATGTCCATAAGAGGCATCAACAAAAATTTTAGCTCCACATTTCACAAACTTCCCTTGAATTGATTTGTGATAAATATATAAACAAAATAGATGAATATAAAGGGCTTGGTGAAGCACTATCACAAAAAAGCTCCACGTATGCACACGGAAGTGGCTGTGAAAAGTCTGTATTAGAAATAATTTACCAAGAATTGAAGGATTTCTCCAGCAGTCAATATTCTGATGAAAACTCAACGAATCCATGTAACTTATTTTAACAATTTACTGGCTTGTTCATTAGCCTTTTTAATTCGTTCAGCATTTGACTTAGCCTAAAATAAAACACATCACAGTAAATTTTAGACAAATAAAAAACAAACTTAATATCTGTGGACAAAATGAGTGGACCAAGTATCCGGTCTTAAAATTACTCGAAAAAAGTATGAAACTGGCAGTCGTGGTTAGGAAAGAATGCACGCCATGTTGTGACGATAGATGGACAGTCACATACACCCTTTATTTAAAAAATGGAAATGACTTTTTTATTATTTGACAGATTTACAGAAAGTGAGACAAGATTTCGGAATGTATCAATTTTATGAGACATGACAAAAATAAAAGTGAACTAATGGAAATAAATTATTCACCTTTAAAGATTAGTTTTGAATACTACACTTCTTAACACAAAGATCAGAAAATACTTCACAGCCCAATGAGTGAAAACTTCATATGCCTTTAGTATCCAGATAAGTCCAGATAGTGTGTAATAATAGTCACTGATTCGATAAAGAACTTAGCTTTTAAATACTGCCCTTAATTACATTTAGCATAAACTAATAGTAGAGGGAAGATCAACCACGTGAAAAATTGTACTCGACAAACACGACACAATTTACGTGCTATCCTAAAGTGAGTGACACTGCCTAGCTCCACAAACATATACAGCTAGTTTTCCACTCTTACAACTGCTGGTATTTTGGAAACAGCTGGAAAAAGTGTGATAACTGAGGTTTTCTGCTGAAGAAAAGGTATTTTTACAACATTCTACCTGAATTACACCATTAGATCTACTTTTACAAGTAACTTTCAACCTTTTGTGATAGACTGCTAGTAATAGTCAAGATGGACGTTTGTTCAGATAGTTATGACCCGTCAGTCAGTCAGCTGCAACGTAGGACCAGGCACGTATATGCATCGGTCCAAGTTGCCATACCGCATTAGCACAACAAGATGAACACCGGATTCATAGAAGTAGTTAATTCAGTGGTGGTAATATATAGAAGAAAGATTGTGTATAAGGAGATAGTACAGGAAGAAAGAATTACTTCCTAGAAAGAATGATTTGAAGTGATTTTAATCTCTTAGTTTAAAGGAAGACGGAGAGTGTATACACCAACGCCATTGTGATCGATTCTGAGACATGTCATCAAGAGTCTCCAACCATTGGTTACGATAGTCACGCGGACCCCAACCAGGCAGTCTGAATCTCCCAACATGGCTCAGACCAGAAGTTAGTGACTTCAAGCACTGATGCCACGTTTTGGTTTGGCCGCCCCTAACTTTCTTCCAGTCATCCCTAACACCGGTTAGCATTGCGCGTCGTGGTAATCTGTGTTCAGGCATACGCAACACGTGGCCCAACCATCTCAGTCGATGAAGGTTCATAACCTCATCAACTGATTTACCATCATTCCCTAATACCCTGCGTCTAACCTCACTATTACTTACCCGGTGATCCCAGCAGATACCCGCAATATTTCTAAGGCATCTGTGGTCAAATACTAGTAACTTACGAATATCTTCTACTCTTAAAGGCCAAGTTTCGCAGCCGTATAGTAGAACGGAATGAACTGCCGCGCAGTATACTCGTCCCTTAATTGATAGACGGATATCTCGCCTTCGCCATAGATGACGTAAGTTGGCAAAGGCCAAGCGAGCTTTTCGAATCCGTGCTGAGATTTCGTCAGACACTAACCCATTAGGGCTGATCAGACTTCCAAGATAAGTGAAGTTGTCAACGCGTTCGACTACTTCACTCCCTATCCTTAGTTCAGGTGTTGACGCAGACCAGTCCTGAAGCAACAACTTGCATTTGGAGGGAGAGAAGTGCATCCCAAACATTCTGGCATTGTTGCTCAGTGCTACCAAAAGATTCTGCATTTCATCAGCGTCTTCACCAAACAGGACTATGTCATCTGCGTATTCTAAGTCGATAAGTGGACCTCCTGGTAGGAGATCAATATCTGAGAATTCACTCGATGAGAGCGTTATTTCCATCAGTAGATCTATGATGAAGTTAAATAAAAATGGAGAAAGTGGACAGCCTTGACGGACGCCACTTGAGGTTGCAAAAGCAGATGACAGTTCGCCATACGCTCTGACTCGACTAGTAGTGTTCGAGTAAAGAGCTTTCACAAGGTTTATGTACTTCTGAGGTATGCCTTTCAATGACAGACACTGCCACAGAACCTCTCGGTCAACAGAGTCAAACGCTGCATTTAAGTCAAGGAAGACCACTATTGTCGGACGCCGATAAGTATGCCTGTGTTCTAGAACCTGACGAATGGTGAATATGTGGTCGATGCAGCCACGACCAGGTCTGAAGCCAGCCTGATTTTCACGTGTTTGCAGCTAACGAGTCTTAGTTAGGCGTCCGAAAATTATCGAAGCTAGTATTTTAGATATTATATTAGTTAAACTAATCCCTCTGTGGTTGTCACAGGATGATTTTGACACTTTCTTAAATATTGGGATGATAAGTGATTGTGACCAGTTAGATGGGATAACGTCTAACTCCCAGATTTTAGCTAAAATATTAGTCAACCTAATCACTAGTAGATGTCACTGCTGTTTCCACAGCTGCTTGTATGTCTTTCCAATCAACATCGGGGTCAGCTTCGTTTTCAGAACTACCTAAGTGTGACCTCAGTTGTTCCTGGAACCTACTTTTGGTTTTCTCATTACTCAATTCGGTTCTAATGAGTCTTTCTTGTGTGGCTCTTTTGCGTCCAGTGAGGCGCAAGCAGATGCGTGCTCGTACTAGGGCATGGTCAGAGTCCAAGCAGGTACTCCAGAATGAGCGACAATCTTCTATCGACCCTCTCCAACGATGACTGATAGCAATATGGTTTATTTGAGTCCATCGTTGGTTTGGTGCAGGGGGTCGCCATGTTAGACGATGTCTCGCCTTATGCTCAAAATTTGTGTTTGCTAATAATAAACGATTGTCTGAGCAAAGTTGCAGCAGACGATCACCATTATCTGTTCTCTGTGCCGGAATACTAAAATACCCACCTATATGTCTTTCTGTTTCGTTTAAGCTACCTACCTGGGCATTAAAGTCGCCTCCTACGAGTACTATGTCTGAACGTTTAGCTTTCTGAAGAAGTTCAGACAGCTTTCTGTAAAATTCATCTTTCACTTCATCCGAACTGCAGTCAGTGGGAGCGTAGGCAGAAACGACAAAAACGCAACGACGTGTGTCCCTATCCTTTCGAGTTCTTACGGAGCCGTCTAGCCGAACAGCGCATAGACGACTATTAACGGGGATCCACTCTAATAGCGCTTGTTCCGCCCTCATTCTTAGTGCTATGCCTACACCTGCAAGTCCACGAGAACTAGCCATCGGGTCGCCAGATACACGGAGGGTGTATCTCGTCGGCACTCCGTTTTGCCGAGGTGAGGTCAAGTGAATGACCACACTAGGATCCTGTATGCGTGTTTCGGAGACACAGCATACATCAATGGTACGAGATTCTAAGGTTTTAGCCAAGGAAGCCTGCTGACCGATTTGGCATAGTGTGCGTACGTTGAAGGCTCCAATGTGTAGTTTGGAGCGAGGTTTCAGTAGACCTGGCACAGTGTTTTGCGCACTAGAATCGTTTAGATTTGAAAGTCGATGTAAGAGGAATAATAGGAATTGAAGAGGTAGGTTGATTATGAATACAGTGGTCTTGAGTGCTGTTAGAAGTATGAGGGCGGTTATCACTTCCCGGTTCCTCACACCGTGGAAGGGTTCTGCTGGAGGTACCTGAAAAGGAAACTGGGTTAAAGGTGGTCTTAGTGACCTGAGAGCGTGACCGCAGTGCCCAAGGGACAGCTGCTTGAGGTCGGTCACACACGACCTTTTTATGAGTAATTTTTGTGTTAGCTCCGTACTTGTTGAGACCTTACCGCCGGAGACGGATATCCATGGGATAAGGCGAGGTGTGCATTTTTAGGGCCGACCTTTTCTAACCCCTCCCCTCCTTTTGGAAAGGCAGCATCGCTGTTATGCTGGTTGTCTGAAGGAAACACCTTACTGCTGTCACACCTCTGTACAGTCAGCAGTACGACTTCGCCTTCGGACCTTGGTTTTGTTGCTTTGAGTCTTACCGCTCTTCAACCGACCTGTCTGGCATGGTAGGACCTTGAGGAACGGTTGTTCCAGCCAGTAAGGCTCAGTTGCTTCATCACGATAGGCAAGCCCGACCACCACGTCAAGGTAGCAACAACGGTCAGTTATGACCCGATAGTCAAGTGGCAAAAAATATCAATCTACATACACTAATACCGAAAGTGATTTATACCCCACTATCATCCTTGATCCCATTGCAAAGTTAATCTTATAAGAACCTACCACGTGTAAAACCTAGCCACTCTCTGAATTGGGAATTTTGTCACTGTCTCTGAAAGACTGATTAATTACAGTGGCAGTAGTGTGAATAATGTCAGCATAATACGCCTAAGAAATTACAATCCATTAAAAATAAATATTTTGATATGATAGCTTTAGCGACTTCATGTTTCTACGCTTTTAGTCACAAACACTCCTGTACGACACTTTGATTCATGAGCTCAGGTAAAATAACCAAGTGAACCGTTTATCTTATGGTGATGTGGAGTGAATGATAGTAACGTTAGATTAGTATTGAACAATTTGTTATGACTGGTGAAAAGACTGGAGGTAACCTTTTAGAAATGACATTTTCATCATCTAAATTTCTAGGAGTTGAACTTCTACCGGGAGATCCACATGTTGACTTAGAATATGCCGATGACATAGTTCTATTTGGTGAAGACACTGACAGAATGCAGAGTCTGCTGACCACTCTAAGCAACAATGAAGGCGTGTTCGGCATGCGATTTTCTCCCTCGAAATCAAAAATGTTGCTTCAGGATTGGATTGCATCGACACCCGAACTAGTGATAGGGAGTGAAGTAGTTGAGCGTGTCGACCGCTTCACTTATCTTGGAAGTCTCATCAGCCCTTGTGGTCTGGTGTGACGAAATCTCAGCACGGATACAGAAGGCTCGACTAGCTTTTTCCAACTTGCGTCATTTGTGGCGTATGCGAAATATCCATCTATCAACCAAAGGACGTGTTTACTGCGCAGTAGTTCGTTCCGTCCTACTTTATGGCAGTGAAACATGGCCAGTAAGAGTAGAGGATATTCGTAGGTTACTGATATTTGACCATACGTGTCTTCGAAACATTGCTCGTATATCCTGGGACCACCGAGTAAGTAATGCAGTTGTTAGGAAACGGGTACTAGGTAAGGATGACAAATCAATTGATGAAGTAGTGAAACTTAATCAGTTGAGATGGCTGGGACATGTGTTACGTATCCCCAACCACCGACTGCCCCGACGTGCAATGTTTTATGGTGTAGGAATAGGTTGGAAGAAAGCTAGGTCCGGCCAGACAAAAAGGTGGCACAAATCCATGAAGTCACTGACAAGTGGACTGAGCCATATTGGTAGGTGTAGACTACCTGGTTGGGGACCGCGAGATGATAACAACCGATGGTTAGAGACCTTGAATGACATGGCTCAAAATCGTTTGCAATGGTGTAGATCCATCCACTCTTTGTGTTCTATCAAACTCTAATCTTCTGTATTCTTCATGTCCTTTATTTTCTTTCCAAATCTATTCCACTGGACTATACTCCTTAAATAACATTATCAAACCCAAATGTTCCCTATCACTACCTCTTCCACTACGGGATTTGAATCGATAACTGAATCTCTGTGCTAATGTGGTATGGCAACTCGAACTGATGTACGTACGTACGAAGTTCCACGTCGTCACTGACTGACTGATTTGAGACATTCAGAATGAAAGATAATAATACTTAAGGTTTTTCAAAAAATGAGTAACACCTAATAAATACTCTCCAACTATCTAGAATATTCATAAACAACAAATGAATAAGACTCAGTTTTGTTCTTACTCTAACTGTATCCTTAATCGTTTACGTTTCTCGTAATCACCTATTCCCTCATTACATTGCCATTTATGTTTTGCGTGGCGCACTTCCTTAAAGACATTCTACTAAGCATTTGAGCTGTAAATATGTACTTTAAGGTTAGAATTCACAATTCAGTCTTCAAAAGTCGGGTGCTACATCTCTTTAACAACTTGAATCTTGACGTTATGGATCACAGAAGCAACTTCAAAAGGGAAACCAATCTCGTACACAGACCCATAAAATAGTTGAAAAAATCTTTTCGATGAGAAAATAACAAGAAAACTACGTACCTTGATCTGTATTCGCTCAACCTGAACATTTTGCTGATTAATTTCACTACCCATATCAATAGCCATGTTACGAAGATTTCCGATCATACCAGAAACCTCCTGTAAATTTTGATCCATTTCATCCTCTCGTGCATCATTTGTAATTCTGAAATGAGCAAAAACAAATTTTAGGAGACCCGGAGTGATATAAAAAACTTTAACAATATTGACACCAAAACATCAGATTAACACAAAGTATATAGCCTCTGCCAGGGAAGTCCTACTCACTGCCTTCTCGTGGCGGGGGTGTTGTTTACAGAAATGAGAGGACGAAGAGCGAATGTCCGGCGCTTTAACCGGACCCCAAACCAATGTTGCACATGGGCTCCAGTATCCTGCGGGAACAAATGGCGTATGAACCAATCGTTGGTCACCGGCTACCATGGGACTGCATCTCCTCACGATGCTCCACTGCCTTGTGGGTCAGACGTTCAGGTCGAAGGCTCGGGGTGTGGCCCCCTTAGAAAACCACCTGCTTCGGTTTGGGCACACTGGCAGTATCACAGCCCTCACACAAATCAATTGATATTCGTGTGGCGCATATGTACTTGGTGCATCCCTGTACCTATACTTATGTGTTAAAATGAAATGAATGAAAACACAAAGTAAATGCCAATTTTATAACGTATTTTATTGGATTGACAGAGCATCTTACGTAAATCCATGCATGCTTAAAAGGCTCGATGTATTGTTAATCACTTAAATCAAACATATAATTTATAAACTTGACCACTGAAAGTCTTAGTCGATAGCACCAGTAAGCCCCCGTGGTCAAGGGTACGTATGCAACTTTGTATAACTCATGTAAAAATTGGACAATCGCAACATAATATAAGAGCTTACTGGATACAAAATGTTGCCCAACGAAGCTATGGGACATTGGCTAGTGAAAAAACTGGTAACCATACATAGTAATCATTCTTTTCATTAGTTTCACTGACTGGTGTCCATTTCAATCTGATTACTTCAATTTTTTTCAATTACGATCAAATCACCTTGTTGACTGGGAAAACAGAAAAGCATCCATAATGACTTAAGTTTTTATCAAGTACGGCTACGGGAATTATCAACGACCTAACTAGTGACACTACTAAATATTACTCATCTTAATTATCAACCTTTACAAATAATTCAGCTTCAACTCAAATACATCTAAAAGAACGCAAACTGATTCTATGATTCGGGATAGATATTTTAACTTCAATGATATTAATATTCACAAAAAATACAATTGTGCAACACAAACCTTTTATACAACATACCGTGTAATATAACCACCAGTTGGACCCATGCCGTTTTGATCCACAATTATTCGAGGTCCGTCCCCACCCCGCATATCCTCATCCTTTAGTTGTTTGGTATAATCATCTTTCTTTTTAACTCTAAAGGATATTATAATAAGTAAATTATAGCTTACTTATAGTCATTAAAACTGGATGTACGTGGCTACTAATACAGAATAAAATCTTGCTCTTAATTTTTATACGCAAGTATGAGACATTGAATTTTCGCAATTGCTTTGAGCGTTTAAAGTATCTTCTGGAAGATTATTTGACTTAACTCAATAAAGTTAGAAAATATTATGCTTACACTTGTTCAATTATTATTTTTTACCAAATTTGTTGATGAACAGAATTAAATAGTTTTAATAAAACTGTTAATCTGGATTTTGTCCTATACATAGTGGATGATGCTAACCCATAATGTAAATGAGTCGTACAAAACTTGAAGGAATGAAATAACTATGATTGATTACGTTGAGATATAACAATTTTCACACACAAATGGTACAGAATAATGGCTATGTACATAGTTAAGAATTGTCTGTCTCAGAAATAGACAGAAATTAACTAGATCATATAATTCTACAAAGTAATGTCACAAGAGCAAGTGAATAACTGAACCATAACATCTACTATTTCGTATTATTCGATTCGATTACAACTTAATACCAGTCTTGTGAGGAACGTCACGTAGAACTCTGACTGTACCTATCTTATTTACAATAGCACATCCAATGGATTCCTACCGCATTACAGTCAATAATGCTCATGATGCAATCTTATTTCTTCCAGCGAAAAGCAATTTGATTAACTGGTTCTTCACTTACATAATTTAGCTCAATTCGGTAGTCAATGTTTGCCTTTGTCAAGCTAAGATGTCATCAAACCTACGACGCCCTGAAACACGGGTATTTATGAATTAATTTGTGTAATTAGTTCCATGATCATCATTTATAGCCTTAATTGCATTTTCCAACCAATGAATAAACTGCTCATCGACAACTGAGCTTAAGCGAGGGGAGAAATTGTCAATTAGTCTGCTACATATTGCCATTGAACCTTCGGAATGTGTACAGCAGAAATGATAAGTCGCATAACATTTGGTAAGTAATCATGATAGGATACTGACAGACTTACTTATTCCAAGGCAATACGCAAAGTCCGCAGCATTTGTTTAGATCATCCAGATTTTTCTCAGCGTCTTTCATGTCTTGATTAATCTGATCCATACCCTCATTTATGCGATCCAATTGTTCTGAAAATTCCAAAAAATCTTTCTATGAGTTTATGGTATATTTGTAAGCAAAACACAAGGCAGTTGGGTATCAACACTTAAATACAGGTACAAAGAAAATTTGTAAATCAAAAAAATAATACAGAGATACCGAAAACAATGAATCTCAGTCTAAAGATATAATTGCAGTCTATCATATGTATGGTGTCGTTTACAATCTTTTTATTAATAATACACACCAGGTTCTCCTGGACAAGACACAACACTTTGTCTAAACCACCTATCCATTAAAATACATCCACGATATAGTTAACATCCAGTTTAGACAACAGCTTTACAACATGAAATTTACAAACTGCCACAACATATATGTATAGCCTTACCGCCTTGATCATCTAACATGACCAGTGTAGAAATCCCTGCCTCTTTGGCCTAAATATTATATAAACATTTAGCATATCATTTTCTCAACTTTGATCAATTATTATCATAGATGTAAAAAGACTCACCTCCTCACATAAAGCCATCATCCGTCGAGAGGCTTCCAGTGACTAAAATGTGCAAAAAAATAAGATTAAGACGAATAACAAGAGTTGGGAAGAGACCCAACAAACCAACTAAACAACATAAAAATGTGAACAATAGCATAATAATTACACCATATTACAATTTTTTTCTCTCAAAAATGCTTGTACGAACATTTGAAGGGAATATCTAACTACATGAAATTAGTGTTTGGTCATAAGAGAACCACGCAAAATTTAATTCTACAACTACATCATAAAAGAACCACGTAAAATTTAATCCTACAACTACATCACTTGTGACGACTTATAAATAAGATTAACAACGGACCTGTATAAACTGAAGAACACTTGATGAAAACTATTTTGTTAGGTTCCTTGTACATATTTTTCGGCAACAATGGGGTAACAAGCAAACATACTGGCTTACAATAAATTTCAACAGTGAAAAAGAATGGGATACCTACATCCGAGGTTGTTTCATCAATTTTCCTTTGAAGAAGTTCTACTTCTGTCATAGGTCTAATAGTTCCATCATCTAACTGCACCTCATCATATCCACAAACAGGATGGCGAGATTTTTGCGGCATTTCTCAGTTAGTACAACCAAGTTGAGTAAGGAAAAACGCTAGTTTGATATGAATAGTTACATAATTTGGGGTGAAAATATTAGGCGTTAATTGTAATACAGAAATATAAAGTATCGAGAAATTCCACAATCCATTAAGGACAGGGCGCAATTATTCCCAAATCAACCATTATTCTCATTAAATATTAAGAAACTAAACTATGGAAGACTTATAAAACTTTAAATGTGTTTGGCCACAAGCAAACTTAGTCGTGATTGGATTAGTAAATAATCTACGAATAACAGACATATGGGAAGACAGACAACCACATTTTTAGCTTAAAAATTTATACTACTACCAAAAGCAAAAGTATGATATTTAAAGGTCGCTAAATTTTTCTGTAGTCACTAAATTTCGATTGGAAATCAGGCTATAAACGCCGACACAAACTAAATAACTCTTCAAAAGCATAAAACCTTAAGTGATAACAATATCGGTGACAATTTTGTAGAAGTAGTCAGTACCTCCATGGTATCAGAAACCTTGTTCAGGAACTAACATGGAGAAATAATCTTCATACCTGGATCGAGATTAGTTAGTAGGCCACAAGAAAGCAGAAACTACATAACTCGCTAGAAAACATTCAGAACCCAAATGGCAAGAACTACAACACGCTAAAAGACGGATGTGATGTTTGGTGCTATAGTGCTTGCAAGCAATAGCAGGCCAAACGATGGGCAGTTAAATGGAAGTTGTTATTTGTAATCAAATAAAACGATGAAACTATTTAACGGCTGATAGAATCAATGAGCGCAGCAAGCAGTCATGATTTTGAGGACGGTTTTAGTTTGGAAACCCCGATAGCTGGAAGGTTACAAAACCTCTGCAAGATAATGATACATTGGATAGCAAAACCCAGTAAGAAGAAATGAACTTAATTGTCTGACGCAAGTACTAGAAGTCTCGAAATGCCAACAGTACTCACTCCGTTCAGTCAGCATATTCGTTTATTTGGAGTTGTCCATATGCTGACAGCAGTGTAATCGACGAGATCAACTATTTATAGGTGGCCGAAATGCTGTAAGTTAATATGGATTACTTTTAAAGTCGTCAAGACATCAGCCTGCCACAATCACATGGGAATACCTCTCCTAGCTGAAGATACTAGATGGTTGATGACCGATTATATCTGGCACGAAAACTGTGTTCCAGGGGTTCAACGTAAATCCGGTCATAGTGGCTAGCATAACGACTCATTTCGACAATAACTGCACACCAGAGAAAGCAGTTTTGCACTACATTTCTAAATCACCAATTGAACAACCCTCCATATTTGGTAGTACATCTAGCGTTAGTGAAGACTTACCAGTTTGCTACGTAGCGTTTCGAAGGTATCGTCTCACTAGTCTGTCTTGAACTAGTAAGACGCTGAGATCGCGTTCTCCACTTCACATTAAACTCAAAAGCAATATAATGATAAGAACTACAGAGGGGTACAAATGTTTGCGATCAAGTTCTGTCTTAATCTTTGTTTCACGAACTACACTATGCACTTACTTGAAGTAGGGCAAGAAAGGCGTATATACATCCTTGTGTTTACTGTATATCGTCAGATCGTGAACAAAATATCTGGAACATGCCCTGGTACGACCGAGAGTTGGGAGAGTCCGCTCTCCCTCTCAAAATGCTCTCACATGGCCATGCGTATATAGCCTTTGCCAGGGAAGTCCTACTCACTGCCTTCTCGTGGCGGGGGTGTTGTTTACAGAAATGAGAGGACGAATAGCGAAAGTCTAACGCTTTAACCGGATCCCAAACCAATGTTGCACATGGGCTCCAGTATCCTGCGGGAACAAATGGCGTATGAACTAATCGTTGGTCACCGGCTACCATGGGACTGCATCTCCTCACGATGCTCCACTGCCTTGTGGGTCAGACGTTCAGGTCGAAGGCTCGGGGTGTGGCCCCCTTAGAAAACCACCTGCTTCGGTTTGGGCACCCTGGCAGTATCACAGCCCTCACACAAAGCAATTGAGATTCGTGTGGCGCATATGTATTTGGTGCCTCCTTGTACCAATACCTATGTATTAAAATAAAATCAAAAATAACCAAGATTAAATGCAAAGGAGGGGATTAACAATTGTCCTTCAGGATTGGAATTTTGACATGCTGGTTTAGTTAAAAGCCTGGGCTGGTAACTAGACCACCCATGTTCGAAGTAATTATGACTTAACACTACTTGAAAGCCTAAAGAACAAGTGGATAGTTCATTACACTAAAGCTGGAGATAAATTTCCGGGAATGTCATTACAGCTTGCATGTAAACTAGATATTTAAAGTAACCCAGCTAACTTAAGCGAAAAACTAGAGGTCTTGTTTTCCATAAACGTACAAGTCCACGGAAAACAAAGACTGATTAGACATAATTTACATTTCAATTCTGTATCACCTCATTTATAATACCTTGATTGAGCATCCAGTCCGTCTCAATTTTTGACTGCACATATCAAAAAATTATAAGCTAAGACTATTGAAGATCAGTGCAGAACATGTCCTCATACAAGCAAACTGTTTTTGGTTTTTTCTAAAACTTATCTACCGAGCTGTTACCAAATTCGGAATATACGACCGGATAATCACAAAATTTGTTGTCGTGGTTAGCAGGTGCGAAACCCTACGCTAACAAGTAGTACTGCTTTTATTTATTAGACATTCCAAAGAAAATGTGGAGCTTGCTAGCGAAAACTGGGAAGACAGTCTAAGACCAAAGAAACCAATATTAAGAAACGAACAAAGCGGCTGAGTAGCTACTGAAAGTACACTGCTGGAGAACATGAAGAAACTGGTGAAGGGTTATAATAACAGACCGGTTAATACGTGGGAAACTTAATCACAAAATAAACAAAAAAGGACAAAGAGCGAAGTCTTCGACTCCTTAGTAGTTATGTGATCAAAATGCTCTGTGAAAGAACAGACCTCGTCAGTCGTTTGATTCATCTTAAATTTAATCTGCTCATACTCCGTCATAGGAACCTGGGACTCGTCCATCATCGAACTCATCAGTATCTCCCCAAGGAATCGCGCCAATCAGCTTGAATCGATGAGTGTAAACAACCAAAAATTCAAAGATAAGTGTAAACCGGTTGATTTATCTATTGAACATTTATTATGACGAGTTTATTAGCATCTTTAGTAAGACGTGAACCAGCTGCTCTTTCCACGATTTAATTCTAGTCTTCAGTCTTCAGTCTTCATTAATAAGGATAGGAAATCGGTCGACCTAAATTAATCCATGTAGTTTGTAACACAATGTCGTTTTGAATATAACATATTTTGATACTACGTGTTCCTGTAAGTAATTCCATTAGTTCACTAGTTGGTGTAAAAAACGGAACTCTAGAAGTAGACGGTTTTATCTCGGTTTCTGAACTTTCTTCGGATGTTCTCTCGAATGATCAATCTTAGACTTAAGGAAAAGATAGGACATATTAATACCAAAGTCATCGTTCAGTGTACGATATGTCGTGTTATATGGCAAAAGAACGGAAATAATTTGAGGCGTCTCAGTCTGTCTTCATAAGATAGGCCAAAGAGATCTTTTACCATTTTAGTCCCACGTTGTTGAACTCGTTCCAGAATATCCTCAACATACTTGAAACAAGGATTCGCTGCTTGAATCCTATATTCCGAATGCAATCTCACAAAAGTCAAGCATAATAATCTAAAAATTTCTTCATCCAAGTAATGAAAAGACTTACGTATAACCCACAATACCCTACAGTCTTTTGCAGCAGCAGTCTTAAAGCTACTCGTAGTTGTGAGATAGTTGTTTATTATGACTCCTAATTATTTATAGCCCATTACTTTTGGTAACACGAATCAACGTATTGTGTGGTAACACAAATAACCATAGTTATTTAATTGCATCACCACCAAGGAGTTGAAAACATCCTGTAATACCATTCTGTTTGACGTACTGTGTATGGGTCTTCAAATGTTTGTCATCGGCGAAGACCAGAACGGATGACTTTGCTACAGTTGGTAATTCATTTACATGAAGTAAGAGCAGGAGAGAACCGGGGATCGTACAATGGGGAACCCTACGTTTTACGGGTCCTCACGATGAGAGAGCTTCATCTACCCTTACCCTTTGTTTCCTGTCATGGTGAAAGTCACTTATCCGGTCTATGACTGTATAATGGATTACAAGTCTTTCCAGTTTTAATTTAGGACCAGAATGGGAGACCCCATCAAAGGCTTAACTTAGATCAGTGAAAACCACATCTACAGGAATATTTGAATCCTCTGCTTCAGACCAATCACTTGAAATGAGCAGATTTGTCAAACATGATAGGTCTTTCCGAAAACCATGTTGTTCAACGGGTAAAACACTATACCCTTCCACACAGTTTGTAACGACCATTGGAATAATCATTTCCATTAGTTTCGCTAACGGGTCGATAGTTACTAACTACATCTGTACTGGCATTGGGCCCTACCACGAGACAATATGGGAAATAGACATTCTACATTTAACGCGGAGAAATACAGAAGAATGGAGAAAGGCGGGAACAATGAATAGGAATTAATCCGAGTTGATCGGATGGCATGGCTCGGCCATGCAGACGTGGTTCCTGCTGAGTGTTACGTTATATCTTTTGTTCATATTAAATATATTGTTCTAGCTCTAGCCTAAGGTTGTTCTATATCATATATTGGTAATTGTTACGATGCAGTGAGTTGGTGTAGACGATGATGTTATTTTTACGTGAGATCTTGTAGATTAAGCTGTTACATCATAACAAATCGACAACTTTGGGATTAGGTCTATTATTAGAGCAGCACTAACATCATAGTAGACCATAATTCTACACATCTCTACCTCCCGCCATATACACAGAACTAATTATTGGGTCTTTCCAGTCTCTTGACAGTCCGAACTGCCGCAGAGATATATCAAACAGTATGGTTATAAGCTCTGCTATTACATCTGACAGGGATTTCATAATCCTAAGTTGAATATCCTCAGGATCACCAGACTTGTCAGATTTAAAATGCTGACGTGGTTTTAAGGCAGTACCTTTCTCAATAAATACAGGGTCCACCAACGAGCCGCCATAACCACAATTAATCATTGGCCGTTCGTCATTGCTGATAGAAAACACTTTACTGAAATATTCCGATAAAGCTACAGCGTTTTCGGCATCATCTCTTGCCAATATTAACGGATTTTCTTGTACCAAAAGTGACGGAATCCCATCACTTTTCCGGCTCTTTTATCGAATCATGGGGAGCAGTGTGGTAGCTTACATGTTGACCATGGGATGGACGTAATGTTACAGATTCCTTTATAGCTTTAACGTTATTTCATTTGCCTTCGAACACTCCATTAACATCGCCAATTTTTCTGTTGGGACACCACAATCTCTGTTTGACGGGACATTAGTATGTTAGATAACGATACACGACGAGCAGATACACATTAGACATTGTGTCAGATACTAAAATACATTACGTGATCACTGTTAGCTAGCGGGAGTAGATACTAATTTTCAGTGACATCACAGTGTTGTGTAAAGACATGGTATAATCATAATTGTTCACGTTTTACGGTTGATACACTGTTGTCAGGACTTCTGTATGATCTTTTTGCTAAACCTTGTGTATGCAAATTTATCTACGTACATATTATTGCGATTCATTTTTTATTCCGCCAGATGCATATTTCATTGATCTTTTGGTTTCATTTGAGATGGCACCATTTGTAATTGATCGTAGTTCTTGCTTTCTCTTATGCTTTCACTGAATTTCCATGTTCTTCACGAACTACATTTATGTCGTTTGATTTTTGGTAATTTGGCGATAGTGACTACCATATTGATCCACTCCCGTTTATGGTTGTGCTGATTGAACCAGCCGTAAATATGCACTGATGATTGTTAATTGAAGCGTGCCTTAAGATCTGGAAACATTCATTTTTTTAACAAAATTATTTTTATCTTTCGGACAGCCTGTGCGTAATCTATCGAGTTAGAATGGAACGACATTCTTCTGTTGATTGGAACATTTATTTGTCTTACTCGGTATTTCTCTCATATCCCCCACAATTCTGTGACTACAATTATATAGGCATTTAATTCTTTAATAATCAGACTTAAGTCGGACGTTGTATTCCTAAGATTACGAGAGCATTCTCCCACTTAGATCGATTTGCAAGTGGAAATTTAGGTTGGATACAAATATCGGAATTACGAGTTATGTATGCATTAATTCGTATAACGTGCCTTCTTGAACACCAGCTTCAAGATTTTCTTCGGTCGGTCTCATCTCTAACCCACTTGCAAAGTCTTATTGTTTTAGTAATATGTGCTTCTAAAGCGCCTTCTGGCGGTACATTGCTGATGAGAAGTTATACCAAGTTTATTTATTTTGACTCCTTCCAAATATTCTAACCAGGAACGGATTACGCATCTTTAAAAGTACTGTTCTTGGCTTTTGTTTGTGTGGTCATTTATTTCCTACTTACTAATAAAATCCTTTCTTAAGTTGTCCTCTCGGTTTTAAATGTCGGACGAATCTATTTGTATAAACTATCCAGTTTTTCTCATAATAATAAATATTGTTAATCTAGTTGGATGTGTAGTGCACAAGAACACAGGTGGGGACAATCAGATGTATTTAACAGCAAATTACAGAACATCTCAATCAAATCTGAGAACCATATATTAAATCATTAATTTGCAAATTGTTCATCAATTGTCTCAAATGACTCAGAATCCCTTTGTTCTTGAATTTTCATACAAATTGCATTCTTTCTTCACTATTTGTTGCTCGATCTTCTCGTCTCTCTGCTGCCAGACATTCTGTTCATGACTCACGTCATAAACCACTTATGTCTACATAAGTAGCACACGCCACGATCGTGTCCCCCTTTAAAAGCAGTCTTTCTTGCGGTGGTTCATGCTCGCCGTGCCAAAGTCTTCCATCTGCAGTCATACACTACTTATGTCTACATAAGTAGCACACGCCACAGATGAAGTGGTGCTAGTGATTTTTTTACGTGATTCTTTGTTAATTTGTTCGAAGACAACTGCTGTGTACCCTACATAGAGGAGAGGTCGATGGAGCACGCAGACGTTACACAATCTTGTAGCGTGGTGTCGAGTTGAGCTGAACTATGAACACCGCTACCAGACTACTTGCCAATAGACCAATAAAATTCCGATAGGCCAAAATATCAGAAGGCAGATGATTGTAGTAGTCGTATATATTTGTTGGCGATCTCGTGATATCGAAAGAATACCGAGATCGTGCCAAAGGAGTACAAGCGTGGTTACTGAGCGTAACCGGATTCGTACAAGTTCGAAGTCAACGGGAGAGTAAGTATAATGGCTGTCATTAGCACAGTTAAACAAACGAGCACAGTAAAACAGTCACTGGTACAATTGGTTATAATAATAATTGTTTTCATCGAACCAATCGCGTTCTGTTGACAAAAGTAGGTCACTACAGGAGCCCTCCGCTAGAAAAGGTTTACACTTTCGATAGTTAGCGGTTTGATTCGTGGGACTGATCGGCAGAATTGCGGTTGTAGGACGGAGGAAATTGGCGGAACAGGAAGTGATCGTTGATCATCGAGTTGCCAACGAAAGTCTTTTGCGCAGAACGGTACCAGGAGAAGTGTGCTGTATTTGTTGGTCGAGTTAGCATACCACAGACTGGTTTGTATCCAGGATCTGATGATTGCGTTCGTATGGATGCGGACCAGATAACGCTGCAGACGTAGGACGAAACCACGTTGAGCCAAGAAACCGGACGCGACCATAACTACCAAGCATATGCCAGGCGAATTCGAGACCAGATAATCGACTGAGTGCGTTGACTAGAGCGTGGGTGGCCAAACCAGCTTTCGCCAAAGTTGACTGAAGTCGACGTTATCAAATGGACGATGGTCGGAGGCGTGGGATCAGGATACAAAAAAAATCAAAAAAGAAAAGTGTAGCATGCGTGTAGTATAGGAATAATCCTACACCGTATGTTATTGACTGTGCGTTTAGTCG